GAACAGCAGATTTAAACAAAAGTGAAACAAGGTTCAGCATGTGCTCATTCCGGGCATGTGTGGTCACTAACAACTCGCAGATTAAAGGCAGATCTCATTTAGGACAGCTCTCCGTGGTTAAAGGTTATTCCTATGAGCGTGACGATTTGTAAATCAAACTGTTTGTCCAGTCCTCAATGATTTATTTTTCTAAATGATTTTAGTTTTTTCTAAAATGGTAACGCTTGCAAATGTGATAAATGTGAAGTATACCATCCGAAAGAATTGTTTAATTTCAACTAATTAAAAGTACAATTGTACAAAGACATAACAATGTCTATGATCTTGATGAACACCACAATATAGATAATATATTATGTCATTATATCTTTGAGAAAACCTTAACTTTCTTTCTAGTTTAATTGAAAAATCACTCGCTACTGTGAGTGTAGATAAAAATCTAAGTGCTTTGTATTTAGAGAACCAGAATAAATTTCCAGACTCCTCGACTTACACGTGTGAGAATACATCTGGTTACGTCAGTATATGTGTGTGAGTGTGTGTGTGTGGGCGGCAGGAGACCCAACAGCAACAAAACTTATTTATTTTAGGAGAAGTGTGTGAAGCAGAAAGAAGATGAGACTGATCCTCTTCTGAAAGTCCCGGGCTAATAACTGTGAGTTCATCACAGCCTTTGTGCAAAGATACAGTATACGTCGCAGCCAGCGATGTGGGCATGGATTTACACAGATGGTTCTTATATCAGAGGATTAGGAAGCGTATTTCCTCAATAAGTGTAAAAACAAAGGCTTCTCTGAATTTATTATGTCTTAATTGAGGAGACCTACATGGATGTGTATTTGTGTGTGAACAAACCTGGATTTTTTTTTGTTTTATCGCTCGGATATGTGAGGTCAAATATGTTGGAAAGAAAGAAGTAAGCCCCCTTCACCCGTGAAAAAAGCTGTAACCTGCAATGAATTAAATTATACTTGAACATAACTTCATTTAAATGTTTTTTCTTAGGGTTTTGAGAAAATAAAGTAATATACTGCAAAATCTTATCCTATATTTTAAAGAAAACTACTTACAGTGATGAACAGAAACCTATTTTCTTTGCTTTTTGAGAAGTTTGTGTGTGTGTTCATATTCACCAAATCTATGTTTTCTTTATTTGTCTACTTTATGTGTTGCATGACATATAAATAACCCCCAGCTGATACAACTGATAACTCTAGCGACACAGCTAAAATCATGAGAACACCATTTAATTTCTAATATTAAAGTAAACGTCAAACCTCAATGTGCTACAAATTTTCCTCTTCAGTTTTTTATCAGTTTAAACCGATTCTATCATTGTGATGAATCTAACTTTGCTTTTTTATATAATGTTTCATATGTAATTTTAAATTGTGGTATTTTTTTACACTTTCATGCATGTTTTTTTTTTAGATTTCCTGTTTTAGATAAATTGTATTGGTAACAAAGAGTGCAGTTAAAAAAACACCCTTCGATTTCTAGTTTAAAAATGTATTCAAAACTTGTGTACACGTGATTTATTTCCTTCAAAATAACTTTGTCAAAAATGGATAAAATATCATTAAATCAATTTTAAAATTCTAAGATAAAAACCAAAACAAATCCCTCCTCCCCGAACCCTGTATTAATTATAATCCAAGAGTTTGCAATCTTTGTCTCCTTTAACTACACAACGGTGTACTTTCTTTTCTTATTAAGTATGGTTTAAGGACTGTGTTGACGCCAATGACCCTCAATTCAAGCTTCATTAAAGAGTCATTTAAAAGACTTCTTTACAATTTTTAATGAAATCTTTTTGGACACTGTTTTTATTCATGAACAACGTTGACTGTGATGACACCAATGACTTTAAGTGCTCTCAATCTAAATGTCTTTGTTGTGTTTTTGAATTTATTTATATAAAGCTTACAATGATTTCCACACTGTGGACAGAGCTTTTTCTTTTTCTTGTTATAAATAACTCATTTTTTTGTCATTTTTATTCATGTTAAAACCGTGGCTTGTTCCATTCCCTCATATTGTTTGTGTTTCTGGTTAAAAATGCTCACATGAAGTAATGTTTGATGTTAATATAATTAGTATATTCCCATATGCTTCAGGGGTATTTATATGCATGAATGAATCTTATCAATTACACACAAAATCTCTGCAGTCTTAAAATTCCACACATGTCCACAGAAGCAATGCATATGTAAGCAATTGCAAAAATATCTACGACAAGTCAGTTTAAATGTATACAAGTCATTCTTACATGTGGCCGAGTGTTAACAGTGCTGCTGGGGCTGCCTGGACTCCCTGTGCCCTCCAAGGTGAGCTCTGTCTCCACCAGGCGAAGAGGACCATGGGAAAGCTCTCAGGCCGATTAATCACAGCTAATGAGCTGGAACAGTGGAGCTCGAGCTGCCTTCCATGACCATCTAACCTCGCAGAAACACACTCACACACACACATACACACACACACTCCTGCTCAGATATAATGTCAGACACAGACCAACGTGTGAAGGACGGAACAACACTCACTTTTTCACTTATTGTGCTAGTATGTCATTACATTGAAATGTAATCATTGTAAAATTAGAAAATCCTTGCAGCATCAAAAATCATAAAAAAATATGATGTAAATGTACAAATGCACTTCTCAGAAAGCAGAATTATTATATTGTAAAGTGAAGTTTAATTATTTTTATAAAACACTTCATTGTTTACTTGAGGAAAAAAAAAAAACCCTCATCTGCAAAATTTCTCTCTTCGGTAATGTTAACAAAAATTTCAAACTCACCGGGCTGTATTCACTGTTTTTAGCATCAAAGTGGCTCCTGAAGTTCGTGGGTTGTAATGAACAAAGTTTAAACAAACGGAAAGCGGAGCGATGAATGAGCGCAGCAGCAACACAGAAATAAGTGATGTCACGTGTAGAAAGTGACGAATGACAAAAGTGATGTTGATTAATGCGCTCCAAAGTATTTTTCAGTCCTGAAAGCCATGCCATGCTGAAAAAATTTATGTATGACTCCTTTATATATGTGTGGGTGAGAAATAAATGCCTCCTTTAACCGGACTCTTTAAATCTATTCTTTACTTTATATGCGTCCCCTCTAATACCCAGTTATCACATAAAAAAACAAGTGAAGCAAAGTGGTGTTAGCACCAAAAATAATAAAAACATCACTCCTTTTAAGGTCCTACATGGTGCAGCTGTTATTATTTCATGTTACATATGGCAAAGCGTATATAATGTGGTTTCTCGACCTCTCTCTGGCTACTGGGGAAGCTACAGCTGTGGGCCTCTTACTGTAACCGTAATCCTTGTGGCACATATATCTTCACTGACGCTTGTGAGTGCACATTACAGTTATCATTCCTGGAGTCACATATATCTTAGACTCCACTTCTGTTGCAGCGTCCCCTGTCCTTGCACCCTGGCAGGTGATGCAACTGAGACAGTGTGGAAGGTGATTGTCATTTAAATGCCTGCTGCTCAGAAAATAGATCCAGTTGTTATGTGATTATGGTCACTGGCGGTGGAGGTCAAGAAGCTGTGGTGGTTTTGTGTGTTAGAGAGGGGCTCTCTATGGTCCGTAAATCATCATGGGTAATCTATTTGACAACAGCAGAGGCACTGAGGTAGTAGGTGTGGCTTTAAGCTATCAAATCATTTTATAACAAACTGCTTTTGTCCAGGTTTACAAGTTTAGAAAGCAGCCCAACGCCCACATGTTTAAAAAAGAAATCTGAGCCCACAGACTGCACTGAGGAATGTCTACCTGAGCAGTATCAGATACATGCTCCTAAAGATGCCCCCCTTTTAAAGACACAGCTGCCCAAGTCTTAAAGTGACCAATGAAAACTTAAGTGAGTCGGGAAGTGAGTGGTGTGGGTGTTTATGAGTACGGATGAGCACATGTCGTACAAAAACAGGAAACTTCATCACCCTTGGTGGACAGATTATTAAAAATTGTTCACAGTTTTATCATTTTGGCTTCAAAATGTTTGTGTCGAAGTTGCATCTCGCTGGGAGAGTAGTGCCAGTGCATGTCTACTTGCTTTAATGCTCTACTACTAGGGTGATCATATTCTGAATCGCCAAAAAGGGGACACGACTATGTGGGGGCGGAGTCACAGAGGCGGAAAAGTTAATTTCGAGACTTTTTCGGTTTGGATCGAGTGTCTTTTATGTGCTTCTAACTCAGTAAGTCCACACGACACAAACTCGAAACTTCCATACAACACCTTTGACGTTTTAAAGATTTTTTAAACTTTCCTGAACAAAGCTGGACAGACCCCCAAAAAGAGGACATATCCAGGTAAAAGAGGACGTATGGTCACCCTATCTACTACAAGTATGTAATCTAGCACAGAAGACAAAGGGGAACTTGTAGGTTTGGCAGTTTTCTGATCGAGAAAATTGAGATAGTTGTTCAGTATGTAGACTGTGTTTGGTGAAACTGCCATGTAAGCACTCAACACCATTTGAATGCTATCCCAATACAGAAAGGTCCAGTCAAAATCACTCCACTGTAAGACTGTAAGACAAGCCTCAGCAAACATCCCACCATAACGTGCTCAAGTTAAGATATTACTATATTGTTGCTGCGATGGTAGCTTCACAGTATTGATGGCTGGGCTCCAGTACAGCATGAAAGTCGATCTTTAATTCCAGATCAGTATTAAGAGTTTTGTCCAATTATTAGTCATAAATATGCCTAATTCAGATAAGTAAGTCCTAATAGATGTCCCTTAATGTATTAAGTCAGTATCAACTACAAGTTTGACTCAAAACATCTCAGATCGGCTTAGTTTCATCCATGTGGGAAGACAGGAGGGTGGGGTGACCTCTCTCTCTGTTTCTAATATCTCCCCAAAAATCCCTGCGGGCAGGATCGTCTTGGGTGTTCCAGGGTGGATTCTGGTGTCGTTATATTTAACAGGTTCCCAGCGCAGAAAGCAGGGAGAAGAAAGAAGATGGAGGAAACGAGAGGAAAGAAAGAAAGCTGTGTGATGGCGAGCTGACTGCAGACTATTGGCCTGACCTGGAGGAAAAAAGCCCCCTCTGTGCATGGCTCAGGGTGAGATCCATACTTTGCCCTCTCTCTTCCCTTCTCACTTACCTTTTTCTCTTTCTTAGTAGGGAGGAGGGATGTAGGTAATGAAGCTTAAGTGAGCCTGGTGTCTGGTAATGTAATATACACAAAGCCCTTGTCAGGTCTGGATCCAATAATGTGTCATTTACCACGTCTGGAACAGATTGGCCCAGATGATCGGAGTGAACCTTTGCCCGGGTGAAGAGTGCTCAGCATCCCTCGGCCTGGAGGCCTTACAAGCAGGCCCTTGACTCACCCCATGTCCCCTGCACCTTTCACCTCTTCTCACCCATCTCTCATAAAAGCCAAAGCATGCCTCGGACGAGATAGTTTGTGTGACAATTTGTGAGCATTTGTATCAGTCGTATTATTTGCAGCTTGAAGAGCTTTCTTTAATAAAAAGTTTTTGAAACAGTCGCCGTGAGCAGAAAGTTTCATCAAGTAACAAATGTTTTAGATGAGCAGACATTTTAAATTCTGCCCATTTTCACACCTAGATACTCTTTTTGAAACACTTCTTAATACATGTTGTTTTTTTTGACACAAAATTTGCCTGTTTTAATGTTAATCTATAATCTAATGTTAATCTATACAAATGTTCACTGTCTTCTTGCAGTCCCCGGGAAGAGTAGCTGTTACTTAAGTAGTAGCTAATGGGGATCCAAATAAATAAATAAATATCAATCAGCTCAAAAAACAATTTTCCACCCAGACAGGAAACAGAAGAGAAGTGACAAACATAGATGCCTGACAGCTCTGAATTATATTAACTAGGATTACAGGAGCAGAAGTTTAGATGTTATGAGCTGTGGATGTACTTAAATAGTAGGAAAGCATGCAGCACTCTATTTTTTATTATTGTGGACCCAAAATGTCATTCTTTGTGTCCAAACTGTGGTGCAGCCACTGCTAACAGCTAGAGGTGCATTTTGCGTTAATGGCTACTGTAACGCTATACTGTTCTTCTATTGGTTTAAACAAGCACGGATGACAGGGAGCAACTGCTGCACAGCACAGTTTGACAATAATTTGATTTAGAAAATAGAAAAATAGAGAAGATAAATGTAAGCACTTGACCTGAAGTATGCATATCCAGCACATAAACAGACTTAAACTAGCAAAGACAACCAAAAGCACTGCTGATGTTAGCCATAATCAACAAACAAATTGAACATTATTTACGCGCAGACTCTATGATCTCATGCTTAGCAGTGTTTAGTATATTTTCCTCAAAGACACAACTGCTTTTTGATGCTGAGTCAGCAGAAACCACTAATATTGGGATGCCACTAGGATCCTTCCTTGGCCCATTAATTTTTTACAAACTAGATAAACAGCACAGCATCTTCTCACAAGTATTTCTAAATCACTCTTTATGCAGACAATGTACTACAATGAACTCACCTTAGATTCATGTTCCTGTTACTACTCAGTCATCTATTCATCACTGACTAGATTTTATCACTGACAAAACAATACCAAAGTGTTTTCTCTACCTGTCTATCAAAACTTTTCAAAAAAGTGTTTGATAACATCAGATACTCTGATTAACATCGGGGTATAATAGCAGGATTCTCACCCTGACAGTGTTTTCAAACATTAAGTAAAAGTCTAGTTTTGGAGAGCTTTTGTTTTCTTAGGGGACCAGGGTGGGTTCACAGAATGAGATCATGTTGCTAATTACTGGTAGTAGTGGACTGTGTTTTAGAAAAGCAGCTTATCAGCAATTTGTGGAGACAGGGAGAGTGCATTTGCTCATAGTGGTAATTACCAGAGCAGGGTCCAATGAAGTTGCTGTAAATGCAGGTCTAGAAGGGCATGTGTGCGATTTCACCACTCCATCTCTGGTTGCCTGAGTCCCGGGCCCAGCCTCTGGCCCACACAGAGAGCGCTGGGCCTTGGAGGTCTACAGCTGTGGATGAGAAAGAAGAGAAATGCAAGGAGATATATTGGGTGTGGAGGTCCAGATTTTGAAAAGTCCAGTTTTAGTTTAGTTTTTCTGTTTTTTTCTTCTTTTTCTTTACCTTCAAGTCTGATCTTTGACATTAAGTATCGACTAAAAAACTGTTCTGGCCTGTGGAAAGCGATCAGTGGTAGGAAAGAGCTATTAAGACAATGCAGCTGCTGTTTATATCCTTGCACCTCCTTTAAATTAATGCATTTTTGACTAAGCAAGAGACCGTGGAGGACAGTCTTTAACACTCCCACCCGCCTTATTACACACTCCAAATGTGCAATGTTGTGCTCACCCAGGCGGAGTCGTTCTGGAGGCCCCTGAGGAGCACTGTAGCTGCCCTCTGCAGCGCCGGCTCTGATTTAGTAGCATTAATAAACATGATGTAGTGCTTACAGTGATAGCGCAGACAGGATTGTTTCTTTTTTACTTCTCGTTTTTTGATACCTGCACACAGCTCCACATGTTTACATTGGGAGCTAAGAGAAATAGAGAAAATATGGATTTGCATGGTTTATTTCAGTCTAATTTAATTATTCACCAAAAAGGGACGGTAAAAATCCTGTTCAGGGCAGATGCAGCACTGTCAGCACATAGAGCTCAGATCCTGTCATGTTACTTTTTGGAGCAAATCCAGCAACTTGTTGAGCTAAAATAACATATGACGGGAGTTTGACTCAGAGAAATCCATGTGTCTAGTCATGCGAGATAAGGTTTAAAGGAATTCCTCACTGATTAAAAGACAATTTGCTTGTTCGAGCCTCTTCAAATATGCAACTATACCCAATAAGTTGGATTTATGAAGTGCCTGCCAGCTTCTCCACGGCGCAAATCTTCTAGCAACATGTTCCCGGCGCAGAGCCCACATGGCCAGCCACAGCTGGCTCTTATTACAGACCCATACAGTAGCCATTCTTTTTCACTTACCCCCCTCCCTGTTTGGTGACGCTTATTAGAAATGTAACATACTAGTCTGGGAGTTTGTTACAGATTTATTCGTCACAGGTGCTCCTTCTAAAGAGTGTGCAGGGGTGCTGAGCAATCTGTGGCAAGACAACATATCAACATGTAGGAAGGAGTGAGTAACACCTTTTTTAAACTTTCAACTCTGTCTCTGAACTCGACTCATTGTTCATGAAAAATGAACAGAGAATAGGATTTTATCTCGTAAAAGTCTATCACTATCATTTCATTAAAACCTACTGTGTGTATAAATGGGAATATAGCAGTATGTTGCGAGATTGAAATGCTATGTGGCTCACCACTCCTGGTGAACCTGCAAAAGCAAGTCACCTTTGAGGACAAGATGCTGCTGTGATACGTAACAAGTATGATCTTCTGCAGGAGAAGTATTTCAGATGGCGGCTCACAGAACAACAAAGCAAACAAACAAAGTATTGCCTTTACTAGTTTGTCCATTCTGGGCTCCACAGTAGAAACTTGGTGGTGCAAGATGTTGACCCCAGCTCTTCATGTAGTTACAAAAAGGTCCATTCTGAATCAACGAAAAAATTAAAAATAAATTGTGACATACTTTTGAGTATTGAAGTCAACTTCCACCAGGTCTGCTCTGTTAAACAGTACCAAACTCTACCATTAAGGGAAGCTTAGCATATGAATTAAAAGTATGTGTATTTAAAGCTACTGTAAGGATTTTTCAGATGGTTATTAAAAAGACTGAAATAAATGTCGATGCCTCTTAAAGACCCCCACAAGCAAACGAGACTGCTAGAATGGAAATCGAATTTTTCAGTATCCTAATTTTCGATGTCTGAAACTGCTGGTGCAGATTCTGGTGCACGACGAGTTATGGTGTATTGTTTTATTGACTGGGGGGGCGACAAAATCAACACAAACTGAAAGTTCCTCATAGGACATTTAAGTTATTATATTTTTCAAGTGGTAAAACATAAAAAATTAAAAACATATAAATATCTATTCTATTTCAGTTTTTTTATTTTGCATGGGGACTCTATGATCTTGAAATATGGTGGAGTTTGTTGATTGACTGCATTAAAGCTTCATTCCATTCAGAGTAAACATATTTTAAATACTTACTCAACATCTATGCAGGGATCATCTAAAAAGTAAATGGTTTATTCAATTTCCAAAGTACTAAAGGGAATGTAAGTGTTTGCAAGTAGCATAGCATAGTTAAGCCAACTTATCCAACTCTTTTATTTGAGTTGTAAGTACTTTATCTATTCCATTATATAAAAATAAGTCTCAAAATATTTTACATCACAAATATCAAAAAGTGCAGTTTACTTCTGAACATAATTCAATGGAAAATGTGCTCAGTCACTGTAATCAGAGAATGACTCTCCATGTTGTAAGGGTTGTCTGTATTAGAATGAATTTCCAGAGCCGCCTCTTGATGGACTCTGACTGGTACCTGCTGTATCTGCTGCCTGTCTGTCAACACCACATCCCCTGAGCGTGAGCGTGTGTGCCGGCAGACCGTTTCACCTCGAGTCTTGCAGTGTGACTGCTGCCAACACATAGGGGAAGAACACACTCCTGCCCAGAAACATATAACAGGATCCTGAGTGACTCCTGCCTCCGAGCAAGCAGGGACACATCTAAAGAAAGCATTCTTGTTCATGCTGCACAACATGTGACCAGAGGTGATGAGTTCACGGACTAAGCTTTGAGTCGTGAGCCGGGCTCCTGACAATGACTGTCTCTTTCCAGCTTTGCCTCGAGTTTCACGGGCCGCTCCCCCTCAGAAGTGTTCCCCCCCTGCCCCTGTCTCGACTCCTCACTTTGTCTCAATGCTCAACTACACCTCTCCGGTTACTTGGCACCACACCTCCTGGTTGTTATCCCCTCTGCCTCTTCTCCTTTGACTCCATCCTCGCCCTCTCATGCTGAGGGGGGGGGACCCTCAGTGCCTTTAATGTGGCCTTGGCCCTGTGTTCCTCCTGTCTGTTGGGCTGATCCAGGGGCAGTGGGTCCCCCGCTCCACCCTGGGTGATTGATGGCAGGGATGCCCTCTCCTCTCACCCTCCACGCCGCACCCCCGGCTAGGCGGACAGCATAGCGTTTCATGAGCTCATCTGTGTGGCGCCCACCTCAAACGCAGGCACCACTCTTGTCTCGTCCCGCATGACTCCCTGGGGGACACAAAGCATGTGTGACCTCGCTTTAGCCAGCCTGCAACCCCATCTCCACACCACCCTCTAGCACCCTCACTGTATCATCCCTGTCTGTGGCTTTGTCCTCCAAGGTCTTCACTCTGAACTAAAACAAGAATATCTTTTTACTCTGCTTGACATTTTCATTCATGCACCTTTATCTTCACCTCTGTTGCAAAGAGTACTCATCTGTGTACTTGTATGTATGCTAGGCTAAAGCACAAGTTTTTGTACAGCCCTGAATCTTCTCAGAAGTTACCCAAGGACATTTTAAAACCATCAGGTTGAGACTATATTCTTTTTTATGTTTCCACAAAAACCCAACAACAATCCACCCTGAGCAGCTGCCTTTACCTATCTAAAAGCAACCACCTCCAGTGTCAAATACTCAAGCCATTGTGGAGGAGCAACAATCTTCAGCTCCTCAAATTTCCACTTGAGGCTGACTCCAATGCCAAGGAATCCGCACTAGGTCCCATGTTAAGATGCCCATTTTTTTTCGCAAAATTAGCCAGGTTAAAACAAAGTTTGGGTTGCTGGGCTAATTTATTTTTCTTTTTTTTTCACAATGCATTTATCAAACCAGTGAGTTACACCGCAGAGACCCTACCATGACTTTTTGTTGTTGTTACATAACACATTGGTTCCCATCCTGGGGGTCGGCCCCCCTTAGGGAAGAGTAAGGCTTTGTCTGTTCAGAGGTTGTTAACTGAAACTTACACAAATTCACTGAAACCCACATAAAACACTTCCTGGATGGTTTTGCATAGCTATGTCTGTAACTCGCATTGCAAAAGATACATTCTTCCTCACTTCTTTTTGATAAGAACATTTAAACTGAGAGTTTCTTGACTTCACTTTCTGTGAGGATCTCTAGAGACTCTGCTTTTTTACTACACAAGAAAGGGGAGGGGCCTCAGAAAAATGGTTGGGAATCATGGAGGGTAACACAGGCACCTCAATTTTTCTCCAAACCTAACCAAGTTGTTCGAGGGTATCAGACGGACATACCTTTCTTAAGCAGTTCATTGCAGTTTAAAATGACCTGTTCAGTTTTTGCATCAGCAACTCTGCATGCAATACAGCTGACTTTCAGACAAGAGTTATTTTGAATCAGACGACTCTGTAAAACCTCAGCTAGTGTTCAGTATCTATGATTTTTGCATCAATGTTTTACAGTTTTTGACTGCGCATGACAATCTCAGATTGAAGTTAGGAAAAACCTGACAGTGGAAAAGGTCCATTCCCAATGGTTAAGGTTTGGGTATACAACTGCACATTGAGCTAAGTCAGCGGATAATTTCATCTTCAGGGAAAGATCACGGTTTGGGTTGAAGTGACTTTGCCGATAAGTTTAGGAGACCTTTTCAACACAGTCACAATCATGACTGTGGAGAACAATTGTGGTCATGCTTAACAAAAATAAAACGTGAAACATGCAATGATCTAACCATTTGTTGATCATCTATCCACTTTGAGCTCCTTCCTTTGTGAACTCTGTAGTTCACTACCATCTCACTCCAGTTTCTGCTTTGCTACTGTCTTAACTTCAGTCAAATGTCACCTGTGGTGTTTTAGGTCTTTGTTTGGATGACATGTTGATGGTTTTCCTGGCCTCATGATGATATTTATCAGAAATCAACCAGCCCTGATCAAAACAAAATGACTGGAAAATCCTAAAAGTTGTGATGCTAGAACTCATGAGTGTTAGTTTTTTGACTTAATCAAATAAATAAATCCTTAAAAATTGTTCCCGTTTCATTTGTTATTGATTGATGTATTATTTGTTTCTTGTGCCCCTCAACCTTTTATCCAGCTGCCCAGTTTACCTTAACCTCCCCTCAGGAGGCCAGGAGGGACCGATCCTCCTCTGCATGTACGACATTCCAGGCAGGAAGGAATCTGAGGACACTGATCACCTAATCTCTCTGACTGCAGCAGCACCTGTCGAGGCAGCACTGGAGAGGAGTGGCGAGAGCGGGGGGATCAGATCAGTGGCAGCGCTGCATTGACCTGATACATCTCTCTGTGTATCAGATGGTGCAGGCGGCTACTTGACAACCCCTCGTCAATCTACACAGACAAGATAAATCCTGGCTTCAATAAAAGTTATGGTGCTATTCATGTAAGAAGTCCTGTCTTATTTAACTTGTTATTTGAAAACGTCTTAACTTGCAATTAAAATTTGTTTACAATATTTACCCTAACAAAACTTGTTCTTAAACTTAGCCTTCTTGAAAAATCTCACTGTTTCCTGAAATCTGTGGATCAGCCTGACTGCCTTAAAGGCCATACTGAGGGAGCCACCTAACCCAAATGAAACCAGATCATTCCTTTAAGAGTAGAGCACCAATGAGAAGACATATAATATAGTCCTCACATCCTGTGTGACAACCAATCAAAAGTCACGCTCAGCTGTTCTGGAGGCGACCATGTGCAGAGAGGAAACCTGAGAGACAGTGAGCAGGGGTATGAATCACCCAGACGGACACCACAGTTGCTTCATGTGGTGAAGACACTGAGAATTTTACCATAGCTTAACTGCCACTAGGTGTTTGTGTTATTCTGTTTACAGTGGGATTTTGTGTATGCTTATTTTGTCAATAAACACTTTTATTTATGTTTATTAAAGGTACATCACAAAACAGCAGGATGGAGTCGATGTCCAATTGTACCTCACAAAACAATAATTCCCATAGCAGCCGTATATTAGTCTGTTATTATGCTTCTTACCAGCCTCAGTCAGTATTACTGGATAAATAAATAATACAGGGAAAGTGTGATGCTAATTTCACATTTGCTATTGTTAGCATGACTAAACAGTCTGTTTGATTTATTTAAACTACGCAACACATTTTTATAAATTCCATTAGTTATTTTAAAGGGACACTACGTACAAACAGAGATAGCTGGAATAAATAACCCTCCCAGCCTCACAAAAAAAGATGATCAAATTCGAAATTGATTTCAAACTTTGGAGAAAACCTAAAGTAGAAACTGAGCTCAATGGCTACTAGAAAAACACAAAATATCTCTAAACTGACCTATTTTTCACAGCCCAAGCACTGTTGTATCATCTTTCGGTCACTTCACTGGTGTAAATAAGTGGCAGGGGTCATTGCACGCTATCTTTATTTACTAACCATTCAGGCTAAATTCATTCAGCCAACATTTGACTTATGGCCTGACTGAAGCATTGCAAACTTTAGAAGCTGCTTGTGCAAGAGCAAGCCCAAAAGTGTGCAATATAACAATAGCGTGATGAGGATAAATTACTTTCATGTGTGTTTTCTTCTCTGTTCTTGGAGGAAAATGGGAGTTAAGAGAGTGGGGACTGTTTAATCAACACAAACAGACAACTGATAAAGTACACGTCCCTGCTTTTGTCAGTAGGTGTTAGCTGCTTATTTGTGGGGTTTTTTATGTGCTCTCTCTGAAAAGTCATTTGCAGGTTAAAGCTCCTGTGAGGAACTTCTTAGTTTGCGTCAACTTTGGCGCCTCCTGTGGACAAAGTGGTTTTCGCTGATCTTGTCCTATGAAAGGTTAGGAAGTGTCTATTGACAAAAAAAATCTCATCCTACTGAATTTTGACAATCGGATATTCATTCATTTATGGCAAATACTTTTAGTGGAAGCTGTATATAGAAGGGTTTGATCTGCAGCTGCTTGACTGACACCGATCCCCTCAGACCGATTTCAAGCATGAAATTGATTAATGCAACTTGTGAATCTGGCTTGTGATGGTCTTCTTTACTGTTGGATAACTGGGAAAGGCATCGTTTTTTGGTCTTTTACGTAAACATCAGAACTCCTTACAGTAGCTTTAAAGGAAAAATGTATAATTTGACAAACAAGTGAATAAGCTTTTTTTATTATTTCCAATTATTCCAGGAACCGATGACCCACATTCTGACTAAATAAACAAAATCTCTAACGGCTACATTAAGTCATAGTAAAAGATGTGAATTATCCTTTGCTTTTTTGCGCCTACTAAAGTATGGGAGCACTCAAGCTGTGGTTCATCTTGACAAATGATCTGTATAGCTCTTTGTTAATGCAGCCAGAGGAGGTCTAGTTTTTTTGTCTCTTGTCCAAGGTTGTTTAAACTAAACCAACCATTCCTATAAATGTCTCCTGTACAGCATGGGCCACAGCCTTAATGTCTGACAGAGGAACGCTGCTTTGCATGTAGCCTGATTATTATCTGCTATCCAAATTGCTAGCAGCTGGGTTGTTCACGGCTGACGGTCCCATAGTTTATGTATTGAAACTGTTGGAATGTGGACAATTACCACTTTTGCTTTTCTTACAAAAAGTCCTAATACAGTTTAGACTAACTATTCTCTTGAAAATCTGACTTTAAAGGGCTATATGAGCCTTAGAGGCAGTTCAGCAGACACACATTTGCTACATATTTCACACAGCTCTTTGGTAGTTAATACAAATAAAAAGGTGGACTATTTTTCATGCAAAAAGCCTTCCTTCTTGCATATTTCACTTAAACCAGGCCAGCCTCTTACATAATTGAGTTTCAACAAGGTTCCATGTAAGTGAAATATGTCGTACCACCCACCAGTGAGGTCTGCAGAAGGTTAAATTTTACCAGACTCTGCAGTGCTGGACTGCTATATCTCTGTTGTGATTTAAGGGTCACAGAAAGAGGAAACCACAAAGAGGTTAGACAGCAAACGGTTGAACTCTCAAAAACTTTCTCCACAGAGATTTTTCTGCTGACCATCATATGCTGATTTGTCACAGTGAAAGATATGTTCAAGCTGAGCCATGCTTGAGGATCCAAGTCCAACTTGTGGGTGGATGAGTGTGTAATTGTAAGTTTTATTTTAGGAGTGACAGCGATTGATCAGCCAAGGAAACAGATACGAAGCACAATATTTTTAATCCAACATCATTGTCAGAGCAGAAATTGATCATGACCATATCGAAAAAGTGCCTCCAAGATGGAAAAAATGTACTTTTCAACAGTGGACATCCACACTCCACTGGAAAAGTCAAGTAAAGGAAAAGAGAAACGGACTGAAAGGAGTCAAGTTGTCAGCTTGTCTAAAGCTGGTGAGCGCCGTGCGAGTGGTCGAACAGTTTAACCTATAATTGCTACAATTAAAATAATACTCATATTAACAAAGAAAAAATTGCTTCCAAATGGTCTTTCACATGCGCAAGAAAAGAAAACACATGGGCACATTTTTTGCTTCAGAATTTTGGCACCGGAGCACGACGTGTCAAATCTGAACAAACCTTGCGTGAAAATGAGGTACAAGCTGGTCGTGTGATACCGAACAGGACGGTGTGTACTCTATGACCGAGGTCCTGGTTGAAAAATTATGTTTATTTTTGTCTTTAAAACAGAAATGCATAGCCATTTTTATTGTACTCTCACAATGCACGCTGGTAAATCCCCCTGTACTTTGTTGGACATGACTGCAGAGGCAAAACAACTTTTATGTGTCTTAAACCGCAAAGAGAATTGAGAAAGTTGTTCATGGACCACAAGACTAAAAGGTCAAGAGGGGGAGAGGAAGACAAGCAGGGGTGTGAGCATGATATGATATATTTCTCCATTTATGAGATGTGAGTGCGTGTATTTGGGAGCATCAGTGATTGATCATTTCCAGTCTAATCTCTCACACTTTAGTGGTCTCTACAGACAAGGAGTCAAACAAAGGGAAATCCAGTAAATAACACACATACCACCCTCATGTGTCATGAGCTTGTTGCATGGAAACTTGCAGGGGTTGACATCAAAGTCAGAAGAACACCTCAGAAATCAAAATGTCAGCCGTATGCCCTATAAAAGTCACTGGACCCCTCACTCCTGTGATGAAGAGAAACAAGGGAGACTCCAAAGTCAACACAATTTTCTCCTTTTCTCCCGAAAAAAAAGCCCACTCGCAGGTTTTGCCCTCATAGCTCGAGGAGCGCTGTTAAATGGACCTCCAGCGGTATTACTGCTCTAAGATATTTTTTTTTCTTCTGGCAGTAATGACCTTGTGTCCAGTAAGAGCCCTCCCAGTGAAGTATTGATGTAGACGCATGCTTTTTTTCCAGGCGAGTGTGAGGGAGTGATCAGAGGAGTCCTGCGGACAAAATTGCACTGTTGACCCCGGACATCAGTGATTGATGTCGAATGTGACCATGAAACCCAACAGGGGTTGTTGTACTTTTGACTTTATTGGCCACCATGTCAGGCTGTGTGTTCTCTGCGGTAAAAAAGACCTGCTTTGCTGCAGCGAAGTCTTTGTACATGCAGACTGCAGACACAGCTGTACGACCGGCTAATGATACATTAGAGTTCGGTAATTGATTTCTTTTCCTATTTGGAGAGACAACAATATGATTCCCACATGACTGCCATCTAACCACAGTGATACAGAATATACAAGTTTATATCCCAGGTACTCTATAAACTTACTATAATGATGACACAACTAAAACAGCTGAAGTACAGGACTTTGATTTTTTATTTTTTTATTTTTGTCCAGTAAAAGAATAAAAATAAAAACGTAGCGCTTCAAAATACGCCAATGAAAGGATTTGAAATCAACCCTTGTTCATTTTGTTTTTACATCTATCAAACTGAGCTTTTACTTTATCTAATAATCTGTTGTTGGCTGCCTACAGACATAAATACTACTTTACTGCTTTAAAATGCACAGTGTTTAATCGTTGTGATGTTCTTGACCTTTGCTTAATGGCATTTTCTGCCCTTAGACATTTTGTAAACTTTAGTTGAAGACTCCTTACAGCCTATATTTATTTGTATGTTGATCCTCATAGTTGGTTAGAGTGACCATATTCTGAATCCCCCAAAAGGCAGTAGTTAATTTTAAGAGTTTTTCGTGTGGGATCGAGTGTTTTTTGCGCGCTTCTAACTCAGTAAGTCCACACCACTCAAACTCAAAACTTCCATAAAACCCCCAGACAGTTGAGGGATTTTATAAACTCC